CCCTAACGCCGGTTTTTGGGGTTTTTTTTCCACCTTTTTAACACCCCCGGTTTTTTCCCCCCCCCCCCCCCCAGTATTTTGTATTTTTCTCTGTCTAAACTAACAAAGAAGGACATATTCGTGATCAGCGTCAAATAGCGATTCTAGAAATGTATGTTTAAGCTAAAAACAAGAACTGCTGAAACTCTGAACTACCCGCGCCTTAGCTCGGACTTCGAACTTCCCTGCAGTGAAAATCGGAGGAAACACTACCGTTTGATTATCGAGAAATCTTCAAAGCAAAAAACGTAACGGACTTACACGTTTTTTGCACGTGTTCTGAACTGCATCACCTTCAAATTTCACTAAAAAATAGCCAAAACCTTTTCGTAATGAGGTACAATTAGCGCGCACATGTCTGATTAAAGTGAGACATCTCCCAGCTACATGACCTTTCTTTGCAAAGTTATAGAATTTACAAGAAAAGCCCTAAATATTCATTGTCAGTTCAAAGCTACAGAAATAAGAAATTAATTTAGGGCTTTTCTTGTAAATTGTACAACTTTGCAAAGAAAGGTCGTGAAGAGCTGGGAGACATCTCATTTTAATCAAAAATGTGCGGGCTATAATTATGCCTCATTAAGAAATGGTTTGGTCTATTTGTTAGAGTTTCTGAAAAACTGGCTTTCCAGCAAATCGGGTCATCAAGAGGTTTGGGGGAAATCCTTTTAGGATATTTACTACCTCACTAGGGTCTATCGATCCATGTACAAAGCATGGAACTTTGTAACTGAATGAAAGTTTTCGACTTTGCTCGCTCGAGTGGACTCTTACGTGGAATGGCCGTGAACAGTAATTTCATTCAACATTTTGTTGTGATTCCATTTAAGTGATTTGACTGTTTTACAAAATTTAGAAACAACACATCTCGACATACTACAATTATATACTTTTTCAATGTGCAAATGACTTACACGACCAGTAAGTCTCAGAGTCGGAACCGGTTGAGAATCGGTGAACCGATCTGATCTGAAAGTATAACCGGACCGATCCGGCCGGTTGGAGTTATAAGTCAAATCGGCGTTTTATGAAAATTGTTTTTCAGAAACAATTTCCCCGAGAAATGACATAGTTTGCGACAGAGATCCGCACGGGCCGAAAATTTTTGGCTCGACTCGGTCCGATGATGAAAGTTTCCGGACCAAGCCCGGCTCAGCTCGACTAAACGCAGAATTTACTTGGACCAGCCCGACTCGACCACTTTGCGTTTTTTCATCTTGTATCTGTAATGCTTCTGCTGTCTAAGCGGTATAAATAGATTTCTCAAGCTAATATTTATATTTTTATGACTTCTCGGTACTTGAGTATACACATAAATTACAAATCCACGCATACTAAAAATTCTAAGTTCGGTCCGGCCGATTCGACGATAATACTTTGCGGCCCAAGCCCAGCCACTTTATAAAATTTCCTGTACCGGTCCGACCCGTGCTTGTCTCTGGTTTGCGAGTATATGTGAGAGAACCTTCACAATAACAAGTCTATAACATTTAATCTCAAAAAGTTTCAACCGGACGGAAATATCGGCCTCTGCTGGCCGGGTTGGGTTCTAGCTCTGGTAGATCTACGACTGTAGCGAATGTTTTTCAAGAAAGTGGAAAAATAATTACTTACAGCTATTACAAACTATTTTCTTTTGGACCTAACAGCAATCTAACTTTTAAATATTAATTTTTTATTTCTAACTGTGAATGATACAAACAAAATACTTTTTCTACTGGTGATGTCTATATAAAGTGAGATGATATAAAGTTTTTATTTGAATTATTTATTATGAACATTAAATGGTGCTTCAATTTTTAATTGACCATCTTGTGTTAAATGAGTTTGTAAATGATCAGTTTGTGTACCTGGTGGTAGTGTAACAGATCTATAAAAATAAAATTTCTCTGAATGTTGACTATCATTTGAAACATGTTCACCTTGTATAATCAATTCATTATTTTTAACTGAAACTTTAATTTGTTCTGGACGATAATTTTTCATTGGTAAAATCATTTGTAATTTTTTTTGTTGTCCATCAACATCAACAATTTTTGGTGTAAAAACTGATGTATGAAAATGATTATAATCAAATAATTGATCACGATTTTGACCGTATGGAACTAAATGATGATCATTTGTTCCCTGTGATTGAAGTTTACGATGTTCATGTTCAGGATTACGAATTGGTATTTCAACAATCAATATATTATTTGGTGTTACGTAAGATACCAAATGTTCAGCATCTAAAAATTCACATAAAATAAAATAAACAATTATAAATTTTTGATATCTTTATTCTTCTCACCAGCATGTTCATAAACATGTTCAGGTAAATCATATCGTTTTTCTAATGCTTTATTATCATTACTATTAGAACTATGACTTTTTCGTTTAGCTTCTACAACTAAATGGCGAGCATCAATTTTTGTTTTTATTGTTTCTGGATCAAATCCAGATATATCCAATTTTACACGATATTTTTCACCATGTGCTGATGACGGTGGTGGTAACAATGCTGGAGCAATTTTATCTTCTTGTTGTCGATGATGTTGATGATGCTTTGGCTGATTAATCCAACGAAATGATTTTGGCATATTTAAATCTAAATCCATCCATGGATCAAAGAGTTCAAAATCATTTCCAAAGACATCATCATCAACGGTATTATCTTTTGAACGACGACGATAGGAGTTAACTGGTAATAATGACATTGCTAATCAAAAAAACTTATTATAAAAATCTGAAAAAAGAAAACAAAGTAGTCTAAATCAAACATGAGACTGCCTCATTTCTCGAGAATGTTTAGAGAAAATAGTTTAAATTTTCTCAAACTTATTCAGTTTAATAGAGTTGCAACAAATAGCGATTTTCTTTTCTTTTTTCTTTTCTTATTCACATTATATGTAGTGTGTGCGCACGTTACAATATGCGTTATTAACTATGTCTGATGTATATAACATATTAGTCACTAATGTCACCAAATTTTTTCCTAAGCATTTTTCCTTTTACAGTCTAGTGTTTTCCTAGTGGTCAAAAACAGATGATTCGACTAGACTAATATTGGTCGAAAGAAATAATTGCAGTTCAAAATTATACAGGATTAACTGTTCTAGTCCAAACTGAGAAAATTAAAAATTTCCTCAGGCCAAACTCAGTGGACTAGACAAAACAGATATGAAATAGTAAAGTTATAATAGAAAAAGTAATATCATTGCAGTACTACACATGCATAACAAAAACTTCACTTGTAGTAAACAAACTCTTAATCTCTCTTACTTCCTGTCATAGGTTATAATGATTTTATTAATAATCGTAAAATCAACTCGGTGCCTCAAACTGTTCGCTTCGTCTGTATTCAGTTAAGTATTTTTATAGTTAAATAAACTGATATTCAACTCAATCAGAGTTTGGACTAGAACAGTTAGTCCAATGTAAGTTAATTTTAAACTACAATTAATTCTAATTACTCAGGTTGACTTAGTCGAATCTCCGATCGTAGTTTGAACTACTGACATTACAGGTCAAACTACGATTGAAATTTGGCCTAGGTCAATCTCAGATTGGCCTGAATCGGAGTTTGGACGCTGACAGATATATATCTTCTTGTGTGATATATAGACTCGATAGATATATCATACAAGAAGATATATATGTCAAAGAGTCGATTGACTGGGATGAAGGAAAACAAACGAAGGAAACGTGACATCACGAGGACGACAGTCTTAATCTATATGTTATATATATCAAACATAAATAACATAACGCACATTATAACGTGCGCACACACCATATATAATGTGAATAAGGAAAAAAAAAATAGAAAAGAAAATCGCTCGCAGCTTTAATGAATCTATGACTTAAACACTTAATGGAAACGAGTCGTTCTCTAGACTATCATCTTCAGTAATCATCAACATGATAATGCGATACAACTAGTACATTAAAGAAATGAATGAATTTCATAATTTCCATAGGACGACTTCAATCTCGTTCGGGCAAGCTAAAACTGTCAGAATAAAAAGATCTTGACTAGAAAACATTATTCACCACAAGAAAATTTTAGGAAATTATCGATATCATGATTTCGCGGCTGATTCAGGATACTCATTTCGGTTAAAACTGACGTTGAATCTGAAAAGTGCAACCTTCATCTACCGTGGTTTTTTTTCTCTAGTACTACCCTTTCTTTCAGCATCGGAATCTCGAAAGCACATGAAAACATAGGTTAGTGGCCACGCTCAAGCTCATGGCAATGTTCGTTTTTGGAACATTACTCAATGACACCGTGAATTAGTTAAAATAACCAAATTTGGTCTATTTTTGTAGAAATTAAAATATTTATAACACTCTCAAAATCGATCCAAACTACATCATAATATCAAGCTCAATCAGATCATATAGTATCTAGATCATAGAGTGTATCTAGATATTCCGAAGTAGTTTGGATCGATTTTGAGTGAGCTATGAATTTTTTAATTTTGGATGTTAATAGACCAAAATTAGTCATTTCAACCCATTCACTGGGTCGTTGAATTTTGTTCCAAACATGAACATTGTCATGAGCTTGAGCTTGTTTTCATTTAAATACTCTTAGCTTCGTGCAAGGACTGATTTTGTGAACTCTGTCTCCGTAAATTTAAGTTCAATCTTGACAAAACGTTCAAGAAGTACACAGCATGTTAAAGTGTGATAAAAAAATTATTTTTGTAAAATATCGCTTCCTCAGGCGATGTCTTAGCCAATCAATAGCCATTGATTGTTTTCTCAAAATGAGTCTGCAGAGCCCATAATAACTGTTTTATGATAGGAGACGTCTATTGGAATCAAAAACAGGACGTCGCGGTTCAAACTATTTTCATGCGAATTGGTTAAATGAAGACTGTGGAGAATGTCCGACTCATCGCCTGTGTTTATCACTGTTGAGGGTAGCATTTTTCTATTACCGGTCACCATAACGGCGTACAAAGAGACCCTACGCGTCGTCTTTCAAGAAAACATCTCAAAATGGTTCTTTTTAAGAGAATAGAGAAGAAAACTAAAACTCTCGTTAAAATATATAATTACTGAAAATCTGAGTTCGTCGCGCGATATCTCAAACCTAGTAATCGCCACCATCTACGCTAACTAAGAAAGTCATATGTTATGTTAGTCAGTCCACTGACTATGTCTTGATGGATTCTGGAGACTTCTGATTGATCTTAGATCAAAGGTGATGCTTATGACTAGAAAGTACAACAATTCGATTTTTGAGTTACGCTCTGTTCGGTTTTAGCAACCATCAAAAGCCAAAAATTCAAAGACCTGGTTTAAGTTTTTCAGGAATCGTTCTCTTTATTAAAAACAAGGTCTTACTTCAAAAGTTCAGCTCTTGGTCATTGTAGCTATGAGTGTTAACATCAATTTAAGGTGAGTCCTAGATCCCTATCATTTAAAGTAACCGCGAGATTGTGCAAACACAAAACAGTGAGAAACCGCAGCGCTAATGTATGATAGGATATGCAAGGTTCTCAACAAAACTGTTATAACTTTTGATCGGGGACCATCAACTAGAGCTGGCTTCGAACCAGAAATGTTTACTTTACAAACTGGTTGCACTAGAAGAGTTTCTTTTTATATCGAGAATAGGCGTCTTTTCAGCTGCATTTATCATTTTCAAAAAGCATCAGAAATGTTTATAGGAATGAAATAAGCACGGAATCTGATACTAGACCAACTGGGAACCTAGCTTTATTCTAGAATTTTAGGAAAAAATTGTGTTTCTCTTAGATCGAGATTTTATGATGTTTTTAGAAAACATCGCAAAATCTCGAATACAGGAGTGCTCGAACCAGCCATAAAAGACATCGGAATATGTTAAAATTTTCGAGAGAACTGTCGTTAGTCACGAATATCTTGCATCTGTGTTGCATTATAGCACTACGTCGACTGTGCTAACAGTATTTTATAAAAAAGAAAAGAAATTTGCTTGTACCGTATTTTGAGTCGTTTTCTCACCCTTTCTTTTAACCAACAGATATTGTAAACTAATTATATCTCTAAGTTCAGTAGATAAATCCTAAAGGGTACCCCTCCCCTCTTTTTGAGCTTTCCACATAAATGCTGTGATATAAAGACTAAAGGTCAATAAGGCTTCATATTTTCAAAATTGATTGGAAACTCAATGAAGCATTTTTTTATTTTTTGATTCAAGTTTTTAACTATTATCGTTCACGAGTTTTTCAGGAGACTCGGTTTTTTATTGTGTCACATTACGACATTATCCCTTATTTCATCCGATCGAGTTAAACATATTACCAGAGGTACTCAACATAATATTGTAGAGGGCTTTCTTTTAAGACTATTCCTTGTCGAGTTATAAAAAAAATACTGAAAAACGTCTCAAAAACCAAGGTTTTCAATTTTAGAAATTCTATAACTCAGTAAAGAAACGTCTAAAATACAATTCAAAACAACTACCTTTACAATAGTGTCTTAAGTACCTCTGGTAAAATTTTTAACTCGATCAGATGAGATTTAAGGTGTGTCGTAATATGACATAATAAAGCCTGGTAGCAAAAAAAATAGTTTTGGAAAAAAAGGTGTTTTGTACACAGGTCACTTTTTCCCCGGCATTTATCGCGATCCTTTTACCTCCACAAAAACTCATCAGAAAATTCTAGGAGTTCACCAGCTCACGTTCACGAACTCCGTTCAAATGAGCGAAAGAACTGTTCAAAAGTTCTTTTCGAGCGAACTGAACTTTTCGAACAGTTCGTTTTGAACGA